GGGGGAGTAGGGGGGGGGGATGACTCTGTTTGTGATCAGGTAGCCTACATGGGTCTGATGGGATCTGTAGCCAAAACCCCGGGGCTGGGAAAAGAAACGGGGGAAGGGGACGCTGCGACCTTGTGATGGTTTCTCCCCCCCCCCACCTTCATCATCTCATCATCCACCAGCCGCCGGTACACAGGGGACAGCTATATTTAACCGCTTCACTGAGACCCAGTTCAGCAGCGAGGCTGGGGGATGACAGAGTGCACTTCAACGGCGGTCGCAAATTCACGGCCAACTGTCCCGGATTTGCATTTCTTTCTTGGCTCTCCTCGTTTCAGCCTCCCCCCCTCCTCCTCGCCGGTCACTCTCTTTCTCTGGGTCATCATGGAAATGTAAAGTAGGGCTCATCCGACATCAGGACCAGCGCTGTGCTAGACCTCAGCCCCCGACACTGTGCGCTGTTAGATAAAATTCAGGGTGGAAAACACTATTTCTGTGGGTCAAGTGGAAGATTCAGTCGAAGGGGTGAGATGATATTGACTCTCATTCTATACACGTTCGTGTTTATTACAACGTTAATATCAGGAGTAAAAAAAATCTCGCGAAAAAACGCAAAGTTATCTTTAAAATGGAGCCGCCGGATGTTTTAAACATGTTTTTTTGTGTGTGCATCCAGGACGTACTCTACGTACGTCTTCACAAATATCGTAACTTCTGTTCATTGGTTGTTGCAAAAACAGCATGGCGACGGCGCAATTGCCGAACTCGAGGCTTCAAAATGGCAGTCCACAAACCAATGGGGGAAGTCACGATGACTTTTTTTGCTGCATGCTGGTAAAGTGATCGAATCCGACCCTGTCAGATTTGGTGACTTTTAACCATCGTTTAAGAATGAAATAAAATTAGATCTTATCGTGCGCCATGGGGTTTAGAATTCTGCACGTTTTTTGTGTGTGTTTCATACCGTCTCTGTAATTAACCCTGTTGCATCTCACATGCTTGTAAATGGGATTATAAAGAAAGCATCGCCGCTCTTATCCTGAGTCAGATCTTAATGAAGATAAAGTGGGGAGGTTCAGCAGCAGCTGTGTATGTCCGGGGGGGTTAAAGCAATAATCTGCAGCACGATCAGTTAAATAAATGACTGTTTGGCTGCTCTCTACAGAATGAATCATAAATAACATCAACCTGTACTACGTTCGTAAGAAGCTTTATTTATGCAAGCAGCATCTGATGCTTGTTACTTCACTGGCAGCAGCAGCAGCTGCAGTTTGTTTGGACTAAACGCGAGAATAAACGAGTAATTTATTTTTAAAAAAAGGTGCCAAAAAACAAACAAAACACAACACCAAACTTGCAGCAGTGGACTCACTGTTTGATTGCCAATTTATTTCTTCGAGTGCAAATAAAAGAAAGCACCACAGCCAGCACTGGCCGCCAAGCTGCAACAACGTGGCCAATACCAACACAAGACTCCTGCAGGTTACCACTGTAAAGTATAGCTGGAAGCTAATTGGACTTCTCAGTTCTTCCAGGACTACCAGCTGGAGTTGTCTCTCTGCCCCAGCCGACCCTGAGGGCCCATGTACCGTACAGTATGCTGCAACTCAGCATCCCGGGGATCCTCCACTCCATCCCGATCGCACACTACACACACACACACACACACACACACACACCATCCTCTCCTCCGCACACAAGACAAATAAGAAGCATGAAAAAACATCTCCTCCGTTTGGTGTCTATATTTGTCCCGCTCCGCCGAGCGCTCCATGGCGTACGCTCCGGGGCCGATTTGGGGGGTAATGAAGAGGCACTGTGTCTCATTTCTTTGAACCTAGTTTGTTTTTTTCCCCGTAAATGCATCAAGCTAGATAAATATAGATTTCAAAGTAAAATGCTTGGGTAAACAGCACTCCTCTTGCTCAATAAGAACAAGCCTCCCTCTGCGTACACCGCAGGCTAAAAAGTAAGCCGTCCTGTACTACAAGAGGTACATTTTTCATATGCAACGCCCTTGTGGATGAAATGAATGAATTTATCAAATAACCGTAGTGCAAAAGGCACCAGTTATCTTATGCATATCATTACTACTGTTGCTCCACAGCTAACGTTATGATTGGACCACAGCCACATCATATCTAGAGTACAGGACAGGTTCTCTGGCATTGTGCACGGGTAGCAGAACTGATATTGAGGCCCGTGCACTTCATGTTACACGTTCATTCTTTTGCCTGATACGAAAAAAAAAAAGACAATGTGCTGATGTATCAGGACTACTTCCTCATTCCTTCCTCCCACTCGCTCTGAGATCAATATTTTCAGCGCTGTGGTCAGACGATACGCTAGAATGAGCTTGACGCCTACACTGCAACCGGGGAGCTGGAGCTCTGAGAGACACAGAGAGAGAGAGAGAGAGACACACACAGAGACAGAGAGAGAGACAGACAGACAGAGAGAGAGAGAGACAGAGAGAGGGAGACAGACTGAAGTGCAAAGTGAGCTGTGTAAAGATGCAGAACACTGGTTGCAGTGGCCACTTTCTGATGTGTGCGCTAAGAACTTGAAAAGTGTGAAAGCGACGTTGTAACGAAGAGTAATTAAGTCAGTGAACTGACTCAGTCATGTCAGTGACACAACAATATTTACTCTATGTTTGCTAGGATTCCCCACCTGGTAGGAGCTCGAATATTTCCAAAACATTTCTGTAACTCCGTCACACTATGCATGACTTTCTTTGAATATAATAACAGTAAATTCCATCATTGCTGTTGCAGCAGTATACATTACCGCTGTCAGAACAAGTAAGACCATATCCTGTCACATCTAAACCACAAGTGGGACGATGCATCCATCGAACCCCTCGAGGAGCCACACTTGGGTCAAACTTTTCATTGGTAACAGAGGAACGTGGTAATCCTCTTTCAAAAGCGGCTCGTCTCTCTTTTTAAGGAGAGTCTGTGCTGCAGTCTGCTGCGTGAAGCTGCTGATAGTTCTCAGATGCGGCTCATATAGATGCAACTGCTCGTAAACCACAGAGCAGGAGCTGCCCAGAGACCTCGAGTGACTCTGGCTACCTTGAATGACTAGGCTTCGGTCAGACCGCCCTGCACTTTTAACAACTTCCTTCCTCATCGGGATCCACTGTGTCCAGTCCACAGTCCGGGGCTGCAGCTATTTTTACTGAAGCTGCTGCCATTTGCCCTGTAAACACGGCGAGGCCCCAGCCTTCCCCCCGTGTTTGTTTGTACAGCCAAATCACAGAGAGGGGCGGTAGGAAAACGGCTGGCCCGGGAAGCATGAGGTAGCACTTCTTCACCGCATAAAGGCCAAGGGAGAGCAACCTAACACCGAGCTTCACTTTGTCAGTACCTCTCCGTTGCCTCCGCTTTAAAAGCTGGTGCAACAAGCCGTAGTGCAGGCGGATCTGGGGAACGTTCATTCATGAAGGAGCTTATCAACGGCCCGCGATAGCGAGTGGAAAGCTGGCAGACAACCCTGCGTGAGTCAATAGAGATCTGACAAGAGGATATTGTGTGGAGTAATGGAGCGCCGTCAATGGCTGACACGTACATAAACACAGTCATACCCCACACAAAGAAATGACAAAGGGGACTGAAATGTCTCCCAGTCATTTTTTTTTTGGGCTGCTCTCCCGGGTTTATCGCTCAGCGCCGTGAATCAATCCAATATAATTTACAGTAGCACACTCAGCAGGCCCTTGGAAAGCCCATAAATCTAATGGCGTAGGGTGATGTGCGCCACGCTATGAGGGTAATAATTACACATTACTGCTGAGCCTCTTTATCTTGCAGCTCTGTTTGAGCAGTGGAACTGAATTCTTTCCAACGGGAAAGCAAAATCCTGTCATGTAGCTCCAACCCTTACAACACACCGACTTGCACTTTGAATCTGATCACCATGGCAACGCACCACTTTCTCTCTCTCTCTCTCTCTCTCTCATTTCTGCTCCCCCCCTCCTGAACACTTAGAGCAGTCCTCTACGCCAAGCTTATCGAACATTATACTGCGTGCACCTCGAGCACACGTCGCTCTATGTGAGAGTCAAGATGGCCTCGCCGGTAACTCTGAGCCAAAAGGTCGGAAGTTCAAGCTCGACATGCGCCGTCACAGTCTAGAGAGAGACATGTGACAATGCTAGTGTCATGTGAAAAGCTGAGTGTAGTGATATATAATTTATTGTAAAAGCATTTCAAATTCCAAACAGGGAAACTCAAAAAAAAAGCTCCTAATAGCCTTTGAGAGACATTTTGGAGATACAAGGTTTTCACCCGTCACTAACGGCACGTGTCAGTGAAAGGCCTGAGCCGCGGATGGAAAGTTTAATCATTAACGCGGGTAAACAGCAGCGCTATGAGGAAGCAAAGCAATTCAGTGTAAACTGAATCTAATGCTTTTCACCGTCCCTCAGGTGGGAGATCTGCTCATTTTGATATTATTACACCGGCAATGCGCTCCTTCTGTGAATTGGAGGGTCCCTCACTGATCTTTACCCGGTAAACAAAAACAGTCGTCTAGTCTGCAGCTTGGAGGACGTCTGCCCAGGTGGATTAGGGGGAGGCTGATTAGAGGATTGGCTATTCATCCTTGTCAGCACTGTCGAGCTACGCTACAGTCCCGCCGCGAGACCAAGCTGAACCTCTCGCCCACTAACTGCAGCCGCCGGCCATTAAAACGTAATGGCCGTAGTACATCGCTGCTGTAATGTTTTGGTTCTAATCACTTTGCGACGCACCGCACACCTTCACTGCGGCTGGGTGTCACCACTAATTGCCAATATAGATCAGAAATGTCAGAAGTCGGCTATAGGCTTGATTGAGATGTAGCATTATGCATATTTATAGGGGCGGATTATAGATGTCAGTGTTTCTGCTGGGATAAGATGAGCTAGTTAGGGTAGTTGGCACTGGCAGGGAGACGGATAGAGCCAGAGGGAATCACTTCAGAGGGCAGTCCTACCCTGGGAGGATCCTGAGCCTTCAATGGCCTGCAGCGCTCTTCACACACGCACGCTGCTCTCAGCTACGGTGATGAACCAATCGCAGTCTTAAAAGACAGCGCCACAGCTTCCTGCATTTAGGCTGTCCTGGTGCATTTGGGCTCACATATTCAAACTCATTACACAGATCTCCAGCAGTGCATAAAGCAGATTAATAATATCAAAGCACATCTGTGCCCTTTGGTGATGCTGTAAATCTTGTACTGAACACTCCCGCTTCAATTACATGATGATTTAATGACTGCTAATGCAGACCTGGAGAGCAGGGCACTGCGATATAATTAGCCTTGGTGGAATTAAAGTGTAATGGCTACGTTGTGCGCTACATGTGAGATACAGTTGTTTTACACTCACCTCTGGCCCTCGATCCTGTACGTGGCAGGACTCGCTGTCTCCCTCTGAGAAGGAGCCCGACTCGTCGCTGGAGTTGGTGCCGTAGGACTGCTCACATTTGATCTTGGGCCGCACCTGGTTAAAAAGGGCATCCCCGCCCACACTTTGCTCCTGCTGGTCCACATTGAGGCAGCGTGCCACGTTGGAGCATGGCGAGGAGGAGAACTCGAACTGGGGCAGGCTGCAGGGGGAGCCTCCGCTGCCATCCTCCGCGTAGGAGTACGAAGAGCAGGAGCTGGAAGTCCTGGTGCGTGTCTCACAAGGCGGCGAGCGCGGGCACACTTTGATTGGCACTGGGCAGCTGGTGTTGGGTCGTGGGCAGCACAGGAGTGGGGGCTCGGTGGAGGTGGCATTGGGAGAATAGGTCTGGGAGGTGGGGAGGGACTGGCTGGCTCCCGCCCACAGGCTCTTTGGCATGTGCTCAGAGAGCTCCATCTCCAAAGAGTTCCCACCAGGGTAGGAATGTGCTGGGGTTCCCAGACGGTTGCAGGCCCCTGAGGAAAATATGACACTACGGCGATCTAGCTCAGCTTCCTGTTTGCAGACCCCATCGCAGGAGGCGGACTTGAGGGACAACCCTGCAGGGAAACCGTCCACATCCTTTGGGGATGTAACAGACAGACACAGCTCCCCAGTGAAAGGCATGAAGTCTTTTTTATGATCTCCCTGAGAGTTTCCTTTGTCCTGGGGGCAGGCAAGTCTGTTGGCGAATAGCTGCTGTGATGTGTCGGGCAGACTGGGGAGGTCCACCCCTTTCTTGAAGAAGGCTCGGAGGCAGGGAGGGGACTTGGTTCTCTTGGTTCTTTCCACAGATATGGGGGTGTCCATCTCCATGGCTGTCTCACTGTCCTTATCCCTGACTTCCTGCTCGTCCCCTAACAGGCACAATGAGACGGCCTCTTCCTCTGCCTGCGGTTCAACTTTGATCTGTGCCAAAGGCAGCCTACCCTGACCCGGAACTGCCCCGCTAACACTGCTCTCCTTTAATGTGCTTGGAAAACCTGAGGTACTGGTGTGTGAGGAGGTGTCATTATTGTGCTTGTTGCAAGCCCACTGGTATTTCCTGTACTTTGGGCATCGCGGCAGGTCTGACGCTCCGTGCCGATCAAAGTCCAGCCGGCCATCTGTGAAGTTACTGGGAATGGCAATTGCTAGCCGATCATCGTCAGGGTGTCCAAAGGAGGCGAGGGCGTCGGCACACCGTCGCACCTTGGGGGAGGCGGGCTTTTCCGCCTCCGACTGCATGCTCTCATCCTCCGAGTTGTTAACCTCCGCCGCCACCTTGTGGCAGAGCAGCAAGCCATCCTCCTCGCTGCGCAGCTGAGCTTCCAGGAAGCGAAAGCAGGAGTCCTCGAGGTTGTGCATGCGCAGGAATTCGGCACAGCGGATGACCTCCTGGATGTTTTCTCTGCTGAGTAACAGCTTAGCAGTGTAGGCAAACTGCAACAATGGAGCGAATCCCCTGGCAGTGACCTGCAAAAAAACAGGGAAATTGCCAGCATTACCATCAGCACAGCCATTGTTCAGAGCACTTGGAGTGTGGTGAGACAACCCGACAGCTCCACCAACCATAAACAAACACTATAAAGTACCGGTTAATCTTTTCATCAGGTCAGCACTGAACTCTCTATCCAGCAGTAAATAAGATCTGGTGTTCTGCGAGTGTTGGCAGGTTGTGTGTCCAGCCTCATGGTCATAACAGCAACTTGTGGGACATTCCAGTAGTCTACCACTGTCTGCTCCGTGGTCATATCATTGGTTTCGCCTACAACCACTCCCGTCACTGCTTTGCATTTACAAAACCCTCACTTACTTGAGGTAAGATGTCTAGGCACAAGTGCTGCTTTATATTCATACACTTGCATGTATTCACTGTAGATGAATCTATGTATACAATGTGGTCTTAACTGAAGGGCCAAGTGATGGTTATTCTTCTAAAAGAATCGGCAAAGATCTTTGTTACTTGTTCAGTGAAGTTCTAGCTCGAGGTTTTATGTCATTTCCAAGATTTTGACACCCATACAAAGCTAAGACTTTTTCAATAATTGATTTATTAATGCTTACTTGACATGAGAAACTTTTTAATTTAACAAAGGAAGCCAAAGTTCTTTTTTTAAATAAACTGATTTAATTCAGGGACTATTTAATCAAAATGATGAACCTGACCACACATTCGATGTCAGCTTTCGGAACTTGAGAGTAAACTGCTGGAGGTATAAATAAAATATTGAGGTTTGATACCCAGCCACTATTATACGTGGCACCTTTAGTTAAAACCGCTTGGCTTAACCTTTGGAGATCTGCCACTGATTTGAGTGTGACCAGCAGTGCACTGTACTGTAAGTGCCCCGATGAGGGCACGGCCCCACAGCCTCACTTTCTGTGTGAGTGCCCTGCGTCGTCAGGTCAAGTGCCTGTAAAGCCTAATGGTTTGTAAGACTACGGCTTATCCCCGTCGCGGCCATGTGGCGTGGGATGACAGAGGGAAGCCTTCCATTTAGACTTAATGCCACATAATTAGGTAAACTCCTGAGCCTGCAGAAGTCCAGGCCGCCCTCTGCTGCTGTTGTCACTGAGCACACAGACCGGAGAAAGGAGCCAGAGCAGCCGGCTTTAATACGAGGCTTGTCTGCAGTTTGGAGATCAGCGTGAGGTTCACACTAGGTTGCATTCACCACTTTACTCGGGCTCTAGCAACCAATCCCCGCAGCTTTATCCCGGCTCACTCGCTGGTGACAAACACATTAGTGTTAGGCGCTCGGGGGAATGCAATCATCCCACATGCAGGTAAAAAGGTGCGCTCGCAAACTACAATTGCAGCGAGTTCGCTTTGAATCTGAGACGGGCATTGTTTGCTTTACAAGGCACCTTTTCAGAGGCTGAGTGATGTGAAGTTTTTCTTTCAAGACTTAACGGAGCCCTCGCAGATGTAGGGGATGCGCGGCACAATGTGGTTTTAATGAGCCCACTGTTTACTGATTGTTTTGTTGTCCTTTTGGGGGGGGGGACAAGAAGACAAATTACCCTAGGTGGAATGGTATACACTGCTCCAGCAGCCTCCGCCAGACGCACTAGTAAAACAGGATTTTCCCTCTTTAGTTAAAGAGCTTCAAAACCACAGAATCTGTGCTGTGGCTTTTTCCGCCTGGAAAAACAACTTAGCAGTAAGCATGAGGAAACACAAATATGTCAGTAAAAAATAGCTTGAGGTCATCGGAGTGGGTCTAAGAATGTGTTTAATCACCTGGTTTGGTGGATTTTCAGGAAGATGAATACAAATGTGCAATAGGTTTGCTGCTTCTGTTTAAATGTTTAAACCATATTTCATCGACTGCTTTACTTGTTCACTTCTAAACGTTCTGTGTGAAATCAGAGATAATACATGCTAGAGGCTCAGAACTTAACAACCAAATGGAGGATCTGCCTGTGCCAATTTCAATGGAACATGACCCCGAAAATACAGAAGGGGATTATGTGATTAAAGCGGAGATATGAGAGAAATCAGAGATTTAAATTGTAAAACACCCAACTCGACTTTCAGCTAAACTCCATGATCTGCAAGGTAATGTGTCAGAACGACTGTACTGAACTGCCTCTGGCTTCCAACTGTGGCCGTACGATACTGTCTACGACTGTACTGAGCACACGCTGATAGTCATGCTGCTCTTATTTATAATGGACTTTATGCAGCGTACACGTTGTGAGAAGCCAGCATTTAAGAAATACTGAGGTCCCCCCCCCCCCTTGCCAGGAATAAAATTCTAATGGGGAAACATTGAATTCTTAATTTTTTTGAGAGTGGATAAAATGTTTTAAACTCAAGGTATTTTTACGAGCTTATTCTGAATATTTCAACCAAAGCCCACGTCTTTCCTCACTTGAAAACAACTAAAAGTAGTCAAATTTAGATATACTGAGTGTAAAAAAAAACATGAATCGACCTATATAGACTCCCCCCCGGTTGGTCCAGGTTGCTAAAACCCCCAAATTCCAACACGCTCTCCCCTTAGTTTTGTTACGTAAATTCCGCACTTTACCAGTTACGTAACGTTAATGAATGAATATACTTAATTTAACCCTAACCACGAGCGGTTGAGACCATAAACTCATGTTTACAATGTTTACTGAGTTAATAAATCAGATGAGAGGAAGGGTCATTTTCTCATAGACATACAATCCTTACAACCATTAGAAAGAATGCAAGTTCAAAGCACTTCCTCGTTAGCTTCTCTTTTCAGAACCGGAGGTTGCCGCCTGGTCTGTAACTTCCACCGCTCTTTTATTGTGTTGCCCCCTCCATTACACATCCCTCTTTTCCACGAACCACTGTTGCTTATTAGAAGACTGCCTCTTGAAAAGCTATAAATAGATGTGTTTCTTATTGCAGTCTACTGGGAAGTGAGGCGCTTCTTCTTGACGGCAGCAGCTGTCAAATCTTTCAGTGTGTCTTTGTACTGGCCCGCGACAGCTTGGACTATTTCCCAGATGGGTTTAGAAGTTGCTGCTTGTGACCTTATCATCTACATTTAATCAAACATGCTACAAGGAGAAAGGTAAATTCCCAGTCGAATAATTAGATGTGCTCACTCATTTAGTGCTTAAATCTTAATTCTCATGTTCATTTTGAGTTTCGCATCTGCAGAATTGCTTTGTTGCCGTGACGTCGCAACAGACAGCCAAATGGTTACCAAATCTTAAAACATCATACCAGCACCGGCCTTAACAGATGTGTGATACGCTAAATACACATCTGTTTGCATACAGTGTGTAATGTGTGACGGGGACCACTGTGAACGCTTAAGATAAGATATTTCTGCATTTTTGGTTCTGCATCCTTCTAGCGTTAACCCAGTGCATCCACAGGCTGCCGCCTCCCAGCATGCCCCTGGTCTAAAGCAACTGCTAACAGACAGTCCAACAGCACCAGTCACATCAGTCATTGTTGAGAGGAAGCTGCTGACTCCATATCTGTGAGGGGGTGGTGTGGGGGGATTGGTGTGTACGTGCGTATGCTAGGGTAAATGGGTCGGTGGGAGTGTGTGTGTCTGTGAGGGATTGGGGGAGGGAAGAGGCTTTGAGTGGACTATCTGCTCTGCTGATGAGCGCAGCACATCCACTACACTATCACTGCAGCACTGCTGAACACACACACACACACACACACACAAGCACACACACACCTACACACACACACACACACACACACGTAGACTCACATTTCTGAATCCATTGAATCTGAATAGCGTGCTCTTTTTCACTGTAAATTATATGATTATAAACTGTATGTGCCTTTTACTATTCCACATTATTTTCTCATACTTGACAAAGCTCCTTCAGAGCCACAGAAGACATTCCTGTGAGGATACAAAGTGAGTATTAGCTGTGCATCACTGTAACTTTGTATCGACTTTACTCTGGGCATTCCTCTCTGAACGTTCTAAGAAAAAAAGGTGGAAGCCAAAATATGCAAATTTGCTCCAGGTGGTGCACCTCAGAATGCGGTCTGAGCGATCGGATCTCAATGCATCCTCGTGGCATCTTATGTGCATTCACACATGTACTTAGGAGCTGTCCACTTGTGATGGGATCACCCAAGACTTACGTCAATGCCGGGTGTAAACAGGGGCCATAGGCACGCTTGATGAGCAGACTGCACAAACAGTCCAGCAGCAAGTTGGAGCAAATAACAGGAGGTGAAAATTTGCTTCACGGCATGTCTGAACATGGACTCTTAATTGAGTGAAAACCTATTGCCTTGCTTCATTGCTGTAGGAGCCATAAAAGAAACAGAGTCATCTTTGTAATATTTACGAATGAATACTAAGTCTACATTTCCAGTGCAAAATATTCTATATGCAACAACCGTTTCAGAGCAACAGGTGTTTCAGTTTAACGAGTGACCGCGTTAACTGTGACCTTCTGTGTGACTTTCAGCCAAATGCATCCCTGGCGTGGAAAATAAACACTGATGAGTGTGTATTCGAAATTGATTGACACCTACGTATTCTGTTAGTGCTTTTTAACAGCTGCCGTCACTACGAGCAACCTCGACCACGTCTGGCCGAGTGTCACCGGTTAACAGGGTCGCTCTTTAAACCCAAACACCTCTATTGCCGCAAGATATTAAACGTATTGACTGGCACTGGGCTGGCCCATAATTGCTCATGGTTGCAGCGTCCATTTTTAAAACTGTGAGCCAGATGTCCTGGTATTTGATGTTCTGTACATCACCAAAGATGATGTTTTTATATTACGTGATTTGTGCGTTGGGGATTGACATACAAATTAAGATCTCTTTTATTCACATATACAGCACACACAAAAAAAGAACTACACACAATCCTTCTGGCAGCCTGTCGAAGTGCCTGCTCTTCTCTGTACACACACACACACACACACACACACACACACACACAACAACAGTTAGTTGCGAGGCAGTGGCGGCTTAAATGAGGCTGGCCGGCTGCATCCAT